TAAATGTAAAAAGGGATCAAACTATTCACTCTACTAGTAACTAAAGACTTGCAAGTATAACTACCAATGTAGGCGAGAGATTTGAGGGTTTTTCTACAGAAGTGCTTACCAGAGTGTCTATTATTAGCAATAGGATAAGCGATAGCACACACAGATCTATTAAAAGCTGAAGCTGTCCAACAAATCTATCTTTTTTAGCAGGAAGTAAATAGAAACTTAAGAAAACAGATGGCTAAAGATATAGTATGCTAGAATACTTGACAATCCTTCAGATAGCTAATGTGCAAGTTAAGGACAATAGGCTTAGGACATTATTTGGCCCTAAATTGGTGGAAGAGTGGCTTAAAGGGTTCCTTTCACCAGAAATGCAGGTACAAAAAACAAAAAAAAATATATATAAATATATATCTCACAGAATTGCCAAATAATTTAACTTTTTACTTGCAGCATTTTTTCAATGTGCTTCTGGACTTGCTGGCAAATTTGACTACTTCAGAAGAGTAATTTCCCTGGAACAGTCCCCTCCATCCACGTATGTCAAACCCTCTCCTTTTCAGGGAGCATCCAACTACCCTCTGTTCTGGGGTAGGACATCTCAAACTTTCAACTCAATCCATAAATCTTACTGTTGTGGAGTTACATTCATTAAAAGCGGTTACTCTGATGTAAAGAAAGATGCCAATTAGACATCAGCATCTTTATTACACCTATATTACAAGGCTAATGGCACACATTACTCCACCTAAGGGAGAAATACATATGAACCCTATTCTACAGTGCCTTGAAAAAGTATTCATACCCCTCAAAATTTTCCAAATTTTGTCACAACCAAAAATGTATTTTATTGGGGTTTTATGTGATAGACCAACACAAAGCGCCACATAACTGAAGTGGAAGGAAAATGATAAATGGTTTTCAAAATTTTTTACAAAAAAAAAAAAAAAAAAAAAAGTGAAAAGTGTGGCGTGCATTTGTATGCAGCCCTCCTGCATCAATATTTTGTAGAACCACCTTTTGCTGCAATTACAGTTGTAACTGTTTTTGGGGATGTCTCTACAAGCTTTGCACATCTACAGAGTGAAGTGTTTGCCCATTCTTCTTTGTAAAATAGCTCAAGCTCTGTGAGATTGGATGGAGAGCGTCTGTGAACAGCAATTTTCAAGTCTTGCCACAGATTCTCAATTGGATTTAGGTCTGGACTTTGACTGGGCCATTCTAACACCTGAATAGGCTTTGATCTAAACCATTCCATTGTAGCTCTGGCTGTATGTTTAGGGTCGTTGTCCTACTGGAAAGTAAACCTCCGCCCCAATCTTAAGTCCTTTGCAGACACTAACAGGTTTTCTTCTATGATTGCCCTGTATTTAGCTCCTTTCATCTTCCCATCAACTCTGACCAGCTTGCCTGTCCCTGCTGAAGAAAAATCTCTCCACAACAGGATGCTGCGACCACCATGTTTCACGGTGGGGATGGTGTGTTCAGGGTGATGTGTAGTGTTAGTTTTCTGCCACACATAGCATTTTGCTTTTAGGCCAAAAAGTTCACTTTTGGTCTCATCTGACCAGAGCACCTTCTTCCACATGTTTGCTGTGTCCCCCACATGGCTTCTCACAAACTGCAAAGGGGACTTCTTATGGCTTTCTTTCAACAATGGCTTTCTTCTTGCCACTCTTACATAAAGGCCAGATTTGTGGAGTGCACAACTAATAGTTGTCCTGTGGACAGATTCTCCCACCTGAGCTGTGGATCTGTGCAACTCCTCCAGAGTTACCATGGCCCCCTGGCTGCTTCCCTGATTAATGCTCTCCTTGCCCGGCCTGTCAGTTTAGGTGGACGACCAAGTCTTGGTAGGTTTGCATTTGTGCCATACTTTTTCAATTTTTGGATGATGGATTGATCAGTGCTCCGTCAGATGTTCCAAGCTTGGGATATTTTTTATTCTGTAATCCTGATTTAAATGTCTCCAAAACTTTATCCCTGACCTTCTTGGTGTGTTCCTTGGACTTCATGATACGGTTTGTTCACTAATATTCTCTAAAAAACTTCTGAGAGCTTCATAGAACAACTGTATTTATACTGAGATGAAATTACACATAGGTGGACTCCATTTACTAATTAGGTGACTTCTGCAGGCAATTGGTTCCACTAGATTTTAGTTAGAGGTATCACAGTAAAGGGGGCTGAATTCAAATGCATGCCACACTTTTCAGATATTTATTTGTAAAAAATTTTGAAAACCATTTATCCTGTTCCTTCTACTTTACAATTATCAGCCACTTTGTGTTGGTCTCACATAAAATCCCAATTAAATACACATTTTTGGTTGCAACATGACAAAATGTGAAAAATTTTAACACTTTTTCAAGGAACTGTATTTGGTGTCCATAAATTCAAATTTCACTCCATTCAATAATATATTGGTTGTTGGACTGTGAACTCCTGTCATTTGGAAATATAGATACAGTCAGAATAACTGGCATTAAGGAATGGTCTGCAGGAGCATATTAAAACTTCAACACCCCTTTGATTGGATGTGTTATTTCTGTAAATGCCTTCTCCAGGGACCAGAAAAGATGGCTTCATTTGCAGCTATGCAACTCTTCCTTGCCATTAGAACTAGAAAGTAAGGCCACGTCATTTATGAGAGTCACTGACTCTGGTAAATCAGATTGGACAACTCTGCAATGAAATTGGACTTGCAGAAAACCAACAACAAGGCAAACTCTGCTAAGTACTTTTCACTTTTTTTTATTTTTATTTTAATTGTCATTTTTGTAAACTTTTTTTGCACCATTTCCTTTCATTAAAATATTTTAAAATTGTTAATTAAAGAGGTAATAAACCTAAAACCAAATATGTAATATATTGCAGCTTACCAATCATTAGATGTGGTGGCTGCATTAGTCTTCTTTTTAGGCTTTTCCTCCCTCTGTTTTCACCTGGTGAACCTACCAGTAACGCACCTCCTGTAGTAGAGTGCCCCTAATCTGGATGAATGATCACAGGGGCACCTTTGGACAGTATCATTGCCAGTCTGGAGGGGAGGGGAGTGTTAGATGTAATGTACTAGCAGCTTTAGATAAACTAACAGATTGAAGCCAAACTCCAGCTTTCACTTTATAGGCAGTTACAGCAAAGTTTAGTTTCCTTTTGGGATAAAGGGTTTAATTGAATAAAAGTGGATTATTATAAGCACCCCGTCAGTGGTAAATGGTTGTTCTAATCCCTGTACCTGATACATCTGCAGGACAATGTTCTTTACAAAAACAGACTTACTGGCTGGATCAGTGAAAATAAAGCCTACAAAAAAAATAATAAATCTAGTACAGCCATCACATCTAAGAATTGGTAAGCGGATATAGAATAAATGTTTGCTTTGGGTTTAATATTGCATTAAGATGACTCTGAATGATTTCATCTGGAATTAAGAATGTCTGTCCCTGTGAGGGCTACCATATTTTAACCACCTTCCGCTCGCCCTATAGTACAATGAGGGGCGCAAGGTGGTTCTCTCGTTCTGATGGACCATTCTCACTGTGCATGCGCGGCTCAGAAGCGAAGCAATCGCCAGAGAGCTGTGTCCCTTGGACACAGCGGATCACGGAAAGAGCCGAAGATGTCGGCTCGGTCATGTGATCAGCTGTATCCAATCACAGCTGATCACATGTAAACATGGAAATGCCGGTTATCTGCATTTCTCTCCTCTCGAGCTGTCAGTGTCAGAGCCGGTAACACTGTTCAACAGGTAAAAAGTTTTGGGCATAAAATTAGCTAATCTTACATAATTTTGGGGTGCTGAAAACGAAAATGACCCTAAAAAATGTTGATTGGCTCTAGTTTCCATGATATATTCACCCATCTAATGACGTAAGCCATTCAAAATTATGATGCAACTTCAGCTGCATATTGCGCAATTGATACTGGTGACCAATAGAAAATTGCATGTATACTGAGATGATGCAATATTAGCCTTTAATTGCATCACTTCACTGCATAAAAGCTGCAGTATCTGTAGCCGATTGTAGTTCGCAGCGTCTTTACATTTCGTTTTATGCTTATATAGGCTACTCAGTAATGCCTCGAACTTGTGTGAATAAAGCAGATAATTTCTGCTATATCTGCGGTGAAATAACTTTTATCTCACAAAAAAGGAGGATAACAGGAATGATTAAGAAAGCCTACAACTTGTATTTTGGCTGCAAGATAGGAGACCAGGACAAGAGCTGGGCACCACATATATGCTGCAATTCTTGTGGGACGGCACTGGAGCAATGGTTGAATGGAAAAAAGGCATCTATGCCTTTCGCTGTGCCAATGATTTGGAGAGAGCCAACAGATCATGTTAGTAATTGTTACTTTTGTATGGTGCCTCCAATTGTAAAAGGGCTAAATAAGAAGAAAAAGTTATCTGTGCACTATCCAAATATTCCATCGGCAATACGTCCAGTTCCTCATGGAGAGGGGCTACCAATTACTAAAGCACCAGAATCCTTCGTGGTTGAGTCAAGTGAGGAAGAACCTGAAGTGTGTAGTCACGTGCAGTTGTAAGAGATAGCCCTTTCCTCGAATACAAGAGAAAAGCCAAGAGAAGCAAAAACCGACACAAACTGAAGACAAAACTAGTGAGAATCCTAAGTATTAAAATGATTCAACTTAGCTTATGGCTATAATTTTTCTTGGTAATCCTATGCAATATATTATGCCATTTAGGCTTTGTTATGTAGTCAATATCACTTGCTTTATATTTGTGGAAAGACATCTATCTATATAATTATTGTGCATTATGTAGTCACTACGCCTATAGTAGAAAACTTTCCGTTTACAGAAACACTAGAGCCAATTGACAAATTTCATTGTTATATTTGAACTCAGAATGTGAAATTCATTAAGAAATGGATCCTTTTGTTTCCAAAACTGGCAAAAAAATTAAAATTTGTTGAACAGTGTAATCGGCTTTCCGCGGAGGGGACATGTACACTGATCATCAGGGCACTGATGATCAGAGTGCCCTTATGATCAGTGTGGCCCCAGAAGTGCCACGTGCCAGTGCCCATCAGTGCCACATCAATGCCACATATCCGTGCATACCAGTGCACATCAATGCCACATATCAGTGCCCATCTGAGCTGCCTTTCAATGTCACCCATCAGTGTCAGTCATTGCCACCTATCAATGCCAATCAGTGCCACCTATCAGTGCCAGTCAGTGCCATATATCAGTGCTGCCTTTCAGTGCCCATCAGTGATGCCTGTCAATGCCACCTCATCAGTGCAGCCTATCAGTGCCCATCACTGCAGCCTCATTAGCGCACATCAGTGAAGGAGAAAAATCACTTATTTACAAAATTGTATAAAAAAAAAAACTAAGAAAAAACTTTTTTTTTTTTTTCAAAATTCAGTGGTTTTTGGTTTAAGAATAAAAAATCCCAGGGGTGATTAAATAGCACCAAAAGAAAGCTCTGTCTCAAAAAAATGATAAAAATGTCATATGGGTACAGTGTTGCATGACTGCGCAATTGTCATTCAAAGTGTGACAGCGCTGAAAGCTGGAAATTGGCCGGGGAAGGAAGGGAGTATAAGTGCCCTGTAGGCGAGGGGTTAAAGTTCTGACATGTTGCCATGTCCACACATTAATTAAAAGAAAGTATGGCCAAAGCTTTTTTGGCCATGCTTCTGTTGCGGATCACAGCAGTGCGCTTACTATATTTTCTGTGACCCGGAATCAGCCGACATCACAGCTGTTTACAGTTATCTGCTAAAGTGTGTGAATCCTTTTAAATGTTCAAGATTTCTGTATAGGAATGGCCTATAGGATATAAAAACAGAAAACAGAAAAGATACGAGCGCTGGATAAACAACCAAAGAGCGACTAGCATGAAAGGCAAACACCAGGAGCCTCAAAAGGAAATGTATCAAACAACCATGCAGCGCTAATAAATACAATGATGCATGCAAATAGTCATACGGTGCATGTAATAACTGGTAAAGTGAACACCACTTAATTATGAAATAGAATTGTATTTCTAAGTAAAGATTGAATCTGTCTCAGCCTGGAAGCTGCTAACTGATATGACTGGTTTGGTTATGCCTATTTAGTTATATACCTCATCCTTCCCCCATTCACCTCCCCCCCCCCTCCCCTTTTTTCTTTCTCTCTCTCTCTCTCTCCCCCTCTGTATTCATCCCCTACGTCCCTCCTCGCCCCACTATGATATTTTTCCTCATACTCTTCCTCCATTCCCTTGCTCGTCTCATTCCCATCTCTTCTTTCTCTCTGTTTCACCTCTTTACCATATTCTAACTACCGTATTTGCCGGCGTATAAGACGACTGGGCGTATAAGACGACCCCCTACTTTTCCTGCTAAAATGTAGTGTTTGGGCTATACTCGCCGTATAAGACTACCCCTCTTCCAATGCACACCAGTGGGAGGAATAGTGCCCCATCATTGATGTCAGTGGGAGGAATAGTGCCCCATCATTGATGTCAGTGGGAGGAATAGTGCCCCATCATTGATGTCAGTGGGAGGAATAGTGCCCCATCATTGGTATCAGTGGGAGGAATAGTGCCCCATCATTGGTATCAGTGGGAGGAATAGTGCCCCATCATTGGTATCAGTGGGGGGAATAGGTGCCCCATCATTGGTATCAGTGGCAGGAATGGTGCCCCATCATTGGTATCAGTGGGAGGAATAGTGCCCCATCATTGGTATCAGTGGGGGGAATAGGTGCCCCATCATTGGTATCAGTGGCAGGAATGGTGCCCCATCATTGGTGTCAGTGGGAGGAATGGTGTCCCATCATTGGTGTCAGTGAGGGGTGGAATAGTGCCCCATCATTGGTGTCAGTGGGGGGAGGAATAGTGCCCCATCGTTGGTGTCAGTGGGGGGGGGGAATAGTGCCCCATCGTTGGTGTCAGTGGGGGGGAGGAATAGTGCCCCATCGTTGGTGTCAGTGGGAGGAATAGTGCCCCATCGTTGGTATCAGTGGGAGGAATAGTGCCCCATCATTGGTATCAGTGACACCAATGATGGGGCACTATTCCTCCCACTGACACTTGCTGACCCTGTTCTAGTACGGTGCTGCTGCAGCCAGCATATGTGGTTGCAGCAGCACCTCTACACACAGCACTTACCTGCTGCTCCGGCACTCAATTTTCGCGGGGCCGCTCGGCTCCCCCCTCGCCGGTGATTGGCCGCCTGTGTGCCTTTCCTAAGCTACAGTTCTGGCGGCCAATCACCGGTGAGGAGGCGGAGCCGCGCAGCCGCACGAACATCCAGTGGCCGAACTGAAGGAGACGCCGCGCTTCCTGGACCGGATCGTCGTGGGACTGGATCCAGGTAAGAGACGTCAGCCCCTGCAAACCCCTGTACTTAATGCCGCAGCCCCCCTAACATGTGTACCGGCGTATAAGAACGACCCCCGACTTTTGAGAAGATTTTCAAGGGTCAAAAAGTCGTCTTATACGCCGGCAAATACGGTAACTATATTTTTCATAAGGTACAGAGTACTTACGGACACACAGGTGTAACAATACTCCTCAAATCTAATCTATAATGTTCAGGTACGGAATCCTAAGACATATATGCCTTGAGTTGACACGACTATTGTTATATACCTCACTGTCCTGTTTCTTTAGATCTTCCTACACAAGGACTATTGTACCCCGTATTTCTATAAATTACATACTGCTAACATCATTGCTATGGGTATATACTATGCCTTCCCCTTAGGACTGTATTTCAGGTTGAGCTACGATTTACTTATATGTCCTGAACCCGTCTGCGTTACAGGAGAACATGCTTAAAGACTTGCGCGGACTGCGATCCGTATTTGTTTATGACTTGTTATGCCTTTCATATCTCAATAAAAATTTCTTGGAAAAAAAAAAACTAAAGGCATATTTTACTAATGCAAAAGCCAATTAAAACCTGCTTTGCTAAAACACTTAAAGGTGAATAACATTTTGTTAAATAAATGTTTGACTTGTTTTGGTAAAAAAAAAAAAAAAATGAAATAGATCTTAGAAATTATCTTAAAAGTCCAGGAATTATAATGATGGTGAATAAAAAAAATCTTCAACAAGAGTGTTCTTGCGGTGCATAAAAGAATTTCAAGGCAAAACGGTGACACAATAAGTGACTTCTGTGACCATATTCCTCCCACAGAGATCAGTGTAGATTGCACTAACCAGAAAGTGCAATGATAATGTGCATTTGAGTGTTAACCAACTCCTGGTCACCCGGCTACTGCAAACTGGAACTGGATCACAGAGAGGTCACCTGGCCTTCATCGTATGACTATCTGCATGCATCATTGTATTTATTAGCGCTGCATGGTTGTTTGATACATGGCCTATAGGATATGTTTTCCGGGTTCCAAAACTAGATCTTGAGAACCCAAATACGCAAATGAAAATCATGCTTGCTGCTTTTCTGTATTTGAGGAAAATACAAAGTTATTGTACATATCTTTGTGTGGTAATAATATATGAACGTTTGGTTTTAATACATGGTGTGCCCACCTTGGGCAGAAATAATGGCAACAAAACATTTCTGGTAATTGTTGATCAGTCCTGCACACTGGAATTTAGCCCATTCCAGTTTACAGCTTCAAGCATGGATGTTGATAGCAGGGGCGGACTGACAACTCATGGGGCCCCCGGGCAATAGGGGATCATGGGGCCCGTGTTGTTGCCCAAACTCAAAAAAACCTATGAAAAAGGTACTAGGGGCATCTCATGGGGCCCCCTACTGACCCCGGATTTTTTTTTTTTTTTACTATGTAAACGAAAATGTCCAAAAATTTTGAAAAAAAGTGTTTTTTTTTTTTATAAAAATTTTATAAATTTTTGCAAATAAATAATATTTCATCATAAATCTTGGCCAAAATGTATTCCGTTATTTTTTTAGTAAAAAAAAAAAAAATCCAAATTAGTTTATAACCAAAAATTTATACATTTTTAAAAATTTTTTTTACATTTTTATTTTCCTTTTTACATACTGTCACCCTAGCAGTACAGTGTCACCATGGTGACAGTGTACTACTTGTGGGGGGTGATGAGGATTTTTTTTTTTTTTTTTTTTTTTTACACTGGATTGCTTTTACACCCATATAGGATGTAAAAGCAATCATTTCTCTCTGTCTGCATTCTTGCAGTCATTGAGAAGTACTGAGTGAGCTGTGATTGGTCACAGCTTGTCACACGGTACAAGGCTGTTGTGAATAGCCTTGTACCATGTGACCTCTGTGATCATTCACAGATTTCACACGTAGTAAGCAATGATGTCACAAGTGACATCTTGCTTACTACTTTGCATGTGATCACTGATTGGCCAATCAGTGATCACATGATCGGGACCTCGTACAGAGGTCCCGTCCGACGATCGGTGTTTCACTGTGTCTGGTGGACACAGCGGGCACTGGATCGCGGTGCTGTGCGCTCCCAGGGAGCGCGCACAGCTAGAAAAGGGGCGGGTGCCGTTTATGAACGGCAACCCGCCCCTGGACTGCCAACGCCCTGCCGTTTATAAATAGCAGGCGGACTGCAAGTGGTTAATAGCAATGAAAGCTTGTCCATGGGAGAGCAAAAACAGGCCCAAAGCATTATACTGCCACATCCATATTTTGCAGGCGAGATGAAGTTCTTATGTGTTGGAGAAGAGCGAACTCTGCATATCACTTCTCCATTTAAGGAAAGAAGTTCCATTTGACTGATCTATGAGGTCATAAGCAAATTGTATGCATGGAGAAATGTTCTTTTTGGACAGCAGTTGCTTTCTCCTTGCAACCCTGCCATTCACACAATTGCAGTTCTGTGTTCTTTTGATGGTGGGCACAAACACTAACATTAGATTTGTTTTTTCTTTGAGATCTCCAGATCACATGCCTTGCACCTGGTATGATCTTTAAATAGTTTTGAAACTTTATCCAGCCCAGTTAGCATCAATAACTTTTTTTTTTTGATGGTCCTCAGAAATCTCCCTACACTTCCACTAACCTGAGTTGTTAAGAACAGACTTGGATAATAAAAAGGTAAAGATCTGGATTTCTGTTCTTTAGTAAGGCAGGGCTCTCACACACTCAAATCATCCTATTAACTGAAATAGTGAACTGAAAATTTTTGCATTTAAACAAACTGAGAATACAAGACGTTCACATATTTTTGTTACATACAAACCTGTAACTTTGGGTAATTTTCATTAGTAAACAAGCATAAAATTGTTTAATCGAGTTATTAACTAAAGAAAAACAAAATCGCGTGTTTGATCATATATGCAGAAATAATGAAAACGCAAAAGAGGTCAAAAACTTTAAAGCACTTCTATCGAATACGACACATATGGAAGAGCAAAA